GAGTGTGGAGCCCCAAGCTCATGGATGCTCTGCCTGACCTCCAGACAAAAATCCAACTGCCACATCAGAAGGCTCAGCCTCCTTCAAGGTTTTCACTGCCACCATGCTCTTCTCCCAGTACCTGGTATGTTTCCACAGGTCTATTTTCCATATTTAAATCCCAGATCTTCACTGACAGATAATCTCTAGTCATCATATATCGACCACTATGGCTAAATTTGACATCAGATATGGAAGAGATGATTTCAGAGAAAAATGATCTGTTGCTAGGGTCTTCTGGTTCTTCGAACACTGAAAACAAGAGGATTTCCAGAGGTAAGTTTGTGTCTCTCAGTACAACACATGCCCAGGTTTGGTTACATTGTCCCCATAAACTCTGCACATCAGGTAATTCTGTGCTCCACACAATAACTCGCAGGGACAAACACTTCTGATACACTTGTCATACTCTGAAACAATCTCTGAAGTGCTACAAGGAGCTGGACAGGGACTCTGTGTTAGGAACTGCAGTGACAGGACAAGGGGCAAACTGAAGGAAGGAAAGTTTAGGTTTGATGTGAGAGAAAAAAGTTTTTCCCAGTGAGGGTGGTGAGACACTGGCACAGGTTGCCCAGGGATGTGGTGGCTGCCCCAACCCTGGTGGTGTTCAATCCAGGCTGGATGAGCCTTGAGCAACCTGATCTGGTGAGGAGGTGTCCCTGCCCAGGGCAGGGGTTGGACTGGGTGATCTGTAAGGTCCATTCCAACCCCTAAATTCTGTGATTCTATGATTGTCAGAGCAAGTTGAACTCAGGCTCTAAACAAGTGAATTTCTTGCTATTAAGTGAAGGTTTCATCCACACATGAAAGATTTCCAGCACTGCCCAATGCTATGACCCCAAAGTGTGCAGTGCTCTGTTCCCAGTCCTGTGCCTGCCCAGCTGGGCCAGGTCAGTCATTCCTTTGGCACAACACGACTCACCCTGAGCTCAGACCTGTTCAGCACCCAACACACACAGAGCTCAGCCTGCTGTGGCTGACAGGACTCACCCTGAGCCCAGACCCGTTCAGTACCCAACACAAACCCAACACACACACAGAGCTCAGCCTGCCATGGCTGACAGGACTCACCCTGAGCTCAGACCCGTTCAGCACTCAACACAAACCCAACACACACAGAGCTCAGCCTGCCATGGCTGACAGTACTCTCCTACACACACAGAGCTCAGCCTGCTGTGGCTGACAGGACTCTGCTGAGCTCAGACCCGTTCAGCACCCAACACAAACCCAACACACACAGAGCTCAGCCTGCCATGGCTGACAGTACTCTCCTCCTGAGCACCCCACACAAACCCAGCTCAGCCTGCCGTGGCTGACAGGACACTCACACTTCGAGTGTCTGTCGCACAGAGCCGACGCTCTCATGTCGCACAGGCGAATGGTTCCTTTACTGCTGCTGTACACGAAGGTGTTGCAGCTGTTGGGGTGGAACTCTGCAGCTGTGATCACCTCCGTCAGCTCCTCCATGTTGGCAGGTTTGATATCTACAATATCTGCAGCAGCTGGTTAAGGAACTTGCTCCAGTTTTCACGAGGAATTTGTCAGCTTTGAGTGCATTCAGCAATGCTTCCTCGGGCCTGGGGGACCCAGACACAAACCAGGTACAAGGGAAAAATCGAGGCACAGAGTTTGCCTAGAAGGCAAGATGGTAACATCATGTTTTATACAAGTTTGCAGTGAACTCTTCTAACAGCAAAACCTGCTACATTTTGTGCTTCAGCAGTAATTCATTCTGTGCTACAGATTCTCACTCAAGTTTTTCCTGCCCAGGAGAGAGTGTTTCCACCATGCAAATGCTACTTCTCCTTCGGATTGTTCAGCCTGGAGAAGACTTTGGAGTGACCTACCTGCACCTTCCAGAACCTGAAGGAGCCTAGAAGAGAGCTGGAAAAGGAGCTGGGACAAGGCCTGGAGGGACAGGACACAGGGAATGGTTCCCACTGCCAGAGGGCAGGGTGAGATGGGATACTGGGAAGGAATTCCTGTCTGTGAAGCTCTGGCACAGGGTGCCCAGAGCAGCTGTGGCTGCTCCATCCCTGGAGTGTTCCAGGCCAGGTTGGATGGGGTTGGAGCAGCCTGGGCTGGTGGGAGGTGTCCCTGCCCAGGGCAGGGGTTGAACTAGATCAGCTTTCAGGTCCTTTCAACCCAAACCATTCCACAATTCTGTGATTTCTCATGCTCTCCAGAAGTAACAGCCCCTCCATCTCCCAGGGACAAATAACCAGGATGTTTACAAACACTGTCTACAGAACACTTGCCACGACAGCAAATCAAACCCAATGGATTTCTTCTTCCCATCACACAGAACAATGGCAAAAAGATACTAAAACTCCTGTCTGTGATTTCTAGGTGCCACAGGTTGATCCGCAGGTCATCTGCAGACAGGTATGTTTCATAGTCACTATTGATGGAGATGGAATTGATGTGATACGTGTGAGCATTGGCAAATATTCTTCGTGGACTAGCTTCAACCATGAGGTCCATGGGCCTGAACACTGGCACCTGCAACAGATACAGCATAGCAGGTTTGAGAGGCAGAAGTACATCAGCACTTCCAGGCACAGCCCACCAGGCTGGCTGGAGTGTCTCAGGAGCAGCTGACAGCACAGCACAGGAAATGGAACGACCCTTGGGGCAGTTACTCAGAGCCAAGGCAGGAGAGGAACCACTGAGTGACTCAGTGAACACTCACCCGTAGTGTTGTAACTGTAGTAGGATCCCTATACCGTCCATCTTCCTCCTTTAAATTGTAACCCTCTGGTCTTTTGTCCCTTTCACTGATTTTCCATAGTTTTATTGTTTTATCTGAAAGAAAACCAGCCAGAGTTTAAAATGGAAGCTGTGGCAGAGGCACCAGCCCCTGCTGCTGCCTGCAGGGAAGACAAGGCAGCCTACGTGTGCCAACAACGACAAAACTGCTGCTGGGGAAACAAGACAAGAGAAAAAGCATTGAAAATCCTCCTCCACAGCTTGTTCTTTTCACAAAAGTTCGAGCAAGCCCCAGTTAGGCCTGGGACTGCCACGAGTGGCTGAAGGAGCTCTGACAGGCACTCACACCACAGGGACTGGAGGCTGAGCCACCACCCACCCCGTGCTGGGGACACCTCTGGCCAGGTAAGCCCCAGCAGCCACATCCCCAGACCCCTGAGTGCAAACCCAGCCTGATCCTGAGCTCGGGAAGTGCAGAGCGTTAGGCAAACTCCAAACTGCAAAACTGTGTGAAATAAAGTCAGCACTTACCATTTGTAGACAATAAAAACTGAGCAGCATTTTTCTGGGGTAACCACCTAATTTTGTTGATCTTCTCTTCAATTTCTAAACTTTTCAAGTAGTCAAACTCTGGTTCATGGCTTTGAAAGGTACTGTAAACATTGTATTCTCCTCTACTGTGGGACTGGGTTTTGTTCTAGAAAGAGAAAAAAACCCTCAACATTCACCATTCTCTCATCTTTAATTTTTCCACCTTCGTTTTCTCCAGGAGAATATTCCCTCCCCAGGAGAACTCCACAGACACACATATGGCAAATGTGCTCTGTGAGTACGTTGAGCTCTCCAGGCACACCATGGAAATCCCACATGCCACCTCTAAATTTACACCAGCAGCTCCACTGTTCTGCTTTGTAATCTCCACGTTCCCTCAGAGCTTCTAAACTGCTTAAGAAGCTTTTTCTTCCTCATTCTAGAGGGGGAAAAAAAGCTTAACACCTCTGCTGAATCCAGCCCTGACACTGGAGTCACCCCTGCAGTTAGCTCTTCAGGATGGAAGTGTTTGAAAAACCTCCAGATTTGAGGATTCCTCTTTCCACAAGGTGTTTCATGCACTGATACTGCTCTGAATGGGCTGAACCTCCAATTCCCTCCACTGGGCACAGAGACCTGGACCCATTCCTGCCACAGTGCTCACCTGACGTGGTCTCAGGCTGAGCCCTGTGCTGTGTTCCTGTCCCACCCACCTCACACATTGCACCATCAGATGCCTTTGCTGTGACTTCTTGACTAGGGACTTGGCTCTTTCCTCCTCTGTGCCTCGTGCCCTTCGTTTCATCCCTCAGTACCTCACCAAAACACCCTGGCTACAACCCCTGCTGGCCCACATTGGTGACATTCCTCGCATCACTTGCTCCTGCTTCATCCCTCACACTGATAGGGAATTCTTACCCCGGGAAGGAGCTGTGGGGGAGGGAGAAGGGGACAGGACGCTCAGAAATAGTCTGGCACTAGGATCCTGCACCACACCTCTCCCCTCCACAGCCTTCCCAGCCTGGGGGGAAGGGACTTTGTTCCAGCCTGTCAGAGCTGAGTGGAGCTGGGGCACTGCACAGCTCGGGAAGGAAATCTATTGTGCTGTAGGAAATGCCTTAGGAAACTCAGGGAACTTTCCTTCCATTCCAGACTTGCCATAACCACTGAGGCTTAAGTATTCTGCTCAAGTGTTCTAGTGAACCAGAGTAACAGATAACCCCAGTGATCTAGGAAATCCATCCCTGGGATGGAAGCAGAATTTAACCATCCCTTGGCACCCACAGGAGCCAAGGAGAGGTGTTGGCCCAAGCTCCCGGTGTCAAAGCCCAGTCTGGGCAGTCGTGGCTGCCCACACAAATTCCTGCGGGCTCAGAGCTCACTCCCTGCCTGGCACGAGCAATGTCCACACATTCCAGCCCGGAGGTGGCAGCACTTGGCGCCGGGTGAACTCACAGGGGCTTGTCACTCTCGGTCAGGGGTTCTCTTCCTGCAAAGCTCTGGGTACACAAATCCAAACAAAACACTGCTTTAGATACTCTCCCATGGAAAACTGCTCCAGACAGTTGTGTGCATGGCACAACCACCTACTGACACACCAGGGAATCCAGACCTCGCCGTTCATTCCCTAAGCACCAGGAGTCAAACTACACCAAAACCAATCCTGCGCAGCTCCATCTGACAAGGCAGGTGCTCCTTCCCAGCCCGGGGCCCCAGACCCCATGGGGGGAGCCAGAACCAAGGGGACCATTATTTCAGCACAGCTCAGCTCAGAGCAGGCCACGAGCAGCTTTAAGCTACATCGAAGGACTCCCAAAGGAACAAAGCTAAAACTCCAGTCAAAAAACAGTAACCAAAGAGAAAGGAAACAACAAAAGGAGTTGGTGCCCCAGGCAGGCTCTGGCCAGAGGAGCTGTCGGGCCTGGCAGCAGCTCCCACTAGATGTCACCCAGGGACCGAGGGATGGACCAGCACACGGCAACCTGCTCTGGGCAGCTGGGCAGCTCCTGAGGTTTGGGATCCCTGGAGCTGGATGGAAAAGGAAGGGAAGCAGTGAGATAACATCTCCCTGCCATGTCCTGTGCTGTCCTCCACCTGAACCAAATTCTGATCCAAGCAGTTCCTGACCAGAGCCTGAGTCAGAGATCCAGCACTGCACCCAGCCCAGCTCACAGCCCCAGCATGGAGCAGAGGCCACAGACCAACAAACAGGTATAAATGAGCAGATACCTTTGCTAAGATTCTGTGATTGCACCTGATGGATATCAGAATGGAAAAGGACATCTTAGGTCACAGTCACACACGCGCTCGAGGGCAACTTTAATCTCCCAGCTACAGTGCAATCTGCAATCAGCATCAGTCAGGCAGAGTCTCTGTGAAAGGACCAACCTCAGCTCCCTGAGGTCCTGTGTGTCCTACCTCCTTGGTCAGACAACAGCTAAAGAGTGCTGCAAGTGGCACGGACCACTGACACAAAATTGTCATTCGTTTCCTCACTCTTCAACATCATTACCTTCATCACTTCCAACCCAGACAAGCACCTTGTGAAAGGTTTGGATTAAAACCTGCTCCTCCTTAAAAATGGGACGAGCAGAAGATTTAATGTAGTGTAAGGAGACAGCACTCACCTCCTGCTCCTGCTGGAAGATGACAACTCTCCCTCCCTTGTCTCCTGTTGCTAACAACTCTCCAGAATGGTTAAATTCTACTGTAGAAATTATATCAGCTGCAGAGGAACAAAAAGAAACCCAAGTTAATAACCTGTCTCAATACCAAGTGGCCAAGACAGATATGGTAAACCAGGGAATTCATACTTCAGTTTAAGAATATTTATGCTCTAAAAATCGGGAAGGGTTTTCTCAGAATTCCAGCAGTGATTTCCAAGCTGCACATTGGGAATCAGTTCCAGCTCACCACGTCAGCTGCAGGCTCAGTGCTGGGCAAGTGAGCAGCAGATCCAACACATCCATGTATGTGGAAGAACAGCAAAGAAAAAGTCTGCCCCACAATTCTGCATATCCACCCAAGGAGATGGATAAATTCACCACAGCATTTATCTGGGGAAAGTCACTGCAAAGTTTTACCAGGTCACAAGTCTTATGACCAAACAGGCAGCAACAACAGCCAGAAAAGCCTTAAATTAAGAAAATGAAGATTTTCATCCTTAGGTCTGATGCTGATATATATTCTCTTTACTGTCTCCCTTATTAAGGGATATAAGGAATATATCCTTATAATAAACAGGACAATAAATAATAAGGAATAAATCCTTACTATTCGCCCTCATTAAGGGAAATGTTCTGCCTGAGATCTAGCCTGAACTTCCCCTCCTCCCATCTGAGCACCTGTGGCACTGCAGGTGCTGAGATGTTCACCCCTACAGGCAGTACCAAACACACAGGCTGAAGACTTGATCCTAAGGAATATATCCTTATAATAAACAGGACAATAAATAATAAGGAATAAATCCTTACTATTCGCCCTCATTAAGGGAAATGTTCTGCCTGAGATCTAGCCTGAACTTCCCCTCCTCCCATCTGAGCACCTGTGGCACTGCAGGTGCTGAGATGTTCACCCCTACAGGCAGTACCAAACACACAGGCTGAAGACTTGATCCTAACACAACCAGAAGAGCTGCATTCGGCACTGCACCTGCACCACCTTCTCCCTCCTGCACAACCCCAGAGGTCACTACAGGGTTTACAGGTACTTCTTTGCACAGATGTAAACATTTGTCCCTTAGTTCCACCTCGATATCCCTTCACAGCACTTACTGTTGTAGAAATACTTCTGAGACCACTAAATACTTCCAAGTAATGGTTTTCAGTGACCTGACAGCAAAGGGGTCTGGGGTGGGAATCACTTACACGACCTGAAATCCATTTACAAGGGAACATGTTTTGCAGCAGGCTGAGCAAAAAGCTCTGAGAACAGACACACTGAACAGTTGCTTCCCCTCCTCACAGAAATAGAACTCCACAGCCAAAACAAACCCCTGATCCTAAAATCTCAAGCTGTAGGAGAGGCTTTGGTCCCTGACCCATCAGCACACGGAGTCAGGGCAGACTCTGCTTTCCCCAGAGGCATCCAAACCTCCTGACAGCAGCTCCAACCTGGCCAGGGTTTCCTTTCCTTCTGCACATCACCTTTACTTTCACAACCTGCTCTAAGCCTTTCCTGTATTGCATCAAGGAAACAGCTTCACTTTAAGAGCTCCAATAAAAACAGAAACCACTAGCAAGGTCTGGACCCTGCACTAGATTCAAGGAAGGTTTTCCCATGGTAGACATGGGGACAGGACCCCGAGGAACCACAGGAATTAAAAGCTGGTGTCAGGCTTTGACCATCAGCTCCTGAAGCAGCAGAGAAAGGCTGTGCTGCCCATGGAATCAGGAGCAGAACAGCCATCAGTCCCAGCAGGCCCCAGGATGCTGTAATGACTTGGTTCCAAAGGCCCACGGTGAACCCGAGCAGCAATTCTGTGTTAATTTGCTCCCAGTAACAGAATCAAAGGCACTGCATTAGCAGAGAAGAGGCTATCTATTTTAATGTACCATGAACTTTCTATAAACTCTGCTCATAAAACATGCTTGGTAGGCAAAACATGTCACCTAGTCTCCAGCAGCAAGTCAATCACGGCAGGAACAAAGAGCCTCTTTATTCCTCCAGACCCAAAAGGTTTCTGTGTGAGTTTCTGGAATCACACTGATCTGCTGCCCAAGCAGAGAGCAAGTCCATCAGGCTGTTTACACAAGTGGAGCAATCTCCTGATGTTTCCAAGGGCTGAACAAAGAACTGGAGTATTTAAAACACATTTTGGTGGTACTTCATTGTTTATACACCTTCCCAGTGGCTCCCAATACTGTTTCTGGAATTTTCCAAAGGAGCAAATCAAACAAATCCTGCCATAATGTAGAGCAGATTACTTACAGGTTGGTAATTCTGTGCTGAGGAGTAGCAACAGTCACTGACCAAATGTGGAGCTCAGTTCTGCAGTTTACACCCTGAAGGATGGAGGAAGCTATTTTGACCAAACTGAACATCAACGATATTTCAGAAACTGTCTTGAATGGAAAACATTAAGAAACAACCTTTAGGATCATTATTAAAACCCAAGAAAGCTCCAAAGCCCCAATCTGAGGAAGCAGCACAGGAATGGATAAACCTAATGAGGGATGAAGGCAGTGAAGTGTTTGCTGAGAACACCTGAGCCACTGCTCCCAGACTGTCTCCAAAGGCACCAACACCTGCCCAGGAGAACCTGCAGACCTTGAGTGTCTGCAAAACACTTGTGGATTGTTTGGTCGTTTCCAATCCAGGGTGAAGCAAAGCTTTCCTGCTTCAGACTACTGCACAGCTGCAGCTCCAAAAACCAATGACACGACAGAAAACTGTGACTATTGATTGGACTTCCTTGTTTCCAGTAATGGTTTTGTTTTGGAGTTACATACTTCATTGTTGGGGGGGAAAAATCCAATGAAAAACACTGGAGAGAAAACAAAACTCTTCCAAGGCTTCAAATATCTGAAGCAGCTGCACAATGCCCTGAGTCATGGCAGCAGCATCCAGCCTGTGGCTCTGGTGTACTGCATGCAGCAGGAGTCCCCGTGGACTGTGTCAGTCTCTGAAGGCAGAAAGCAATCTCAGTGCTCAGAGGCTGTTTGCAGCAGTGAGGACAGTGACCACACACTTCTGTCGGTCTGCAGGGAGGAACTCCCAGCACACACACAACTACACACTCCAGGGAAGGAGTAAAGTGAAATGGCACTCACAGTGCAAAGGAAACACCCTCTGCATTCCAGCCCCATCCCTAATGTATGCGTGGAGGGGGAAGGGAACAGCATCCCATGCTCTAAAGCCACCGTGACCCGTTTCCCTTCCCTTCCCTGACTCGCGCCGATCCCTGCTCTCATTCCTGCATCCCTTCCCTCTCCCAAGTGACCAGGCAACGAGCCCAAAGGCAGCTGGGACAAGGCATTCCCACTGCTCCATTTACTGCTCAAGGGTCCCGCCAGAAGGCCTTGAAACAGAGCTCTTCTCTGCTAGAGAGGGCATCAAAACCACGCCAGCTCCTCTCAGACACGGGCCGGGAATAAACACTCCTGGGCAGTATTTCTGCGCAAGGAAAGGGGTTGTTCCCTCCCTCCTGTGCCGAGCAGCCCTGGAGTGCTAACAGAGCTGCCCCTGCAGCCAAGGGAAGCGACCAGTGCTCTAAGACAACTATTCCCTAGGATTTAGGTGCATTAAGATGGCTTAGAACTTACAGTGCATTTCCAACACGTTCTTAGACAGCCCAGAGATAAAGCAGATGAGGGATTAAGTTCAAAACAATGCGATTTGGTGGGTTTGCAAATTTATGCAAACGAGTTTCTGCTTAGCCTCGTGACTTCTTCGAAAGCACAAGGGAGTGAGCAGCAAAGGTCCATCCCCTCCCAGTGCCACCAGCTTTATGTAAGGCTGGTAATGCTCCTAAAGAGCTTTGCCAGGCTCAGTGCTCAGAGGATACCACTCCAAATCCACCTGCTCCGTGAGCAGAGCAGAGTGAGGAGATGGCACTGGGACTGATCTTTACAGCATCCACACTGAAAAATAATGCCAGGAGCTTTGGGAAGGAGCTTTTAACCTTAAATTGATTTAAAACCGACCCACCATGCACCACCTGTCCCACGGTGACGGCTCTGGGCTGCACCTCACTGGAGGTTTTATTTGTGCTCACCGAGTCTGGCACTGCATCCTGTGACTCCTTTTATGCCAACTTCATTGTAAACCTACAGGAAAAACCCTATGGAAGGACGTGTTAGCTGGAAACAGCCCTGAACTGGTCCCCGAAAACACTTCATCTGATGAGAGAATGAAATAGTTTTGGGGGGTTTAACCCTGAAGAAGTTATTAGTAAGTGTTTCAAAAATAAATGTGAAAAATCCTCTGGCATTAAACTCCTAACAGCAGCAGACAGAAGAATGTCCTCTCTATATAAACAAATGCAAAGCTGTTTGGTTTCTGCATAGAAACCATTAACCCTCATCACCCTGATTAATTGCTTTCTATTTTTAAACCTTAAGACAAGACATTACTGCAATTCCTTTCAGAACACGAGCACAGGAAACCAACAGGCCAATTCCTTTCTTGCACCAGGTGAAAGAGAGAAGCTCCAAACCAGAGCTCCTGGTATTATTTTTCAGTGTGAATGCTTTTAAGACCCAACTGTAGAGCAATTTTCTGTACTCTGCAGGTGCTCCGAGGCACGCGCAGTCACTGCGTCCAAACAGTTTCCAGGCTTTGCAAGAGGCCTCTGAGTTTTCACTCCACCAACAAACCTCATTAGGAAAGCAACAACTAAGCCGATTCCCCTTTTCCTGTCTTGGTTACACATTTGAGAGTTTTCCCCTGCAGAATACCCTAACTAATCTATTCACCAAGTGGGATTCACCTGCCTTTGTTAGCACTGCAAACGATTTCGGAAGACTAACAGAGATGCACATCTACACAGGGAACATTTTACCAGGGTCAAAAAGCAAATGATGAGCATTTAGTTCACATCTCTTAACACACATTCTTCCCCAAACTCAAATATTCCTTAAAATATGACAGGAAGTGCCTATTTGCTTTTCCTAGTCACACTAACCCAGGTCTATTGTTGGCTGAAACAAAGGTCTTTGGACCTGCATCGCCGTTCCCAGGACATTTGACACCGGTTTATTAATATCATAAACACAAGAGGCCCAA